CCCCCCACGCCCTGCCGAGTTTGGAGGATTGGGTCGTGCTAAAAAGAAAATAAGCATATCTTTTTTTTCGTCCTCCCGTTCCTCTCCAGGCTTTCCAGCCAGATAGCAGATAAGGGCCGATAGAGATGCGGCCCAGACCTCCACCACCTCAGGCCAATTGCTTTTTGTCAGCAGCCTCCTCCTCCTCGCTGCCAGAATCTGTGTCTCAGCCCTCTTTTCTCAAACCGCACTCCTGCAACAAAGCGGGGGACAGGTGGTTCCGGATTGCTTGTTCATGCCCGGTAGCAAGCCCGTATGACTTTGATCGCGAGATACCTAGGTAGATGGATGTCTTGCGGCTGTCGTTCACGTCATCAAGATGTCAGTGTGACCCAAACAGCGCCCATGCCTGTTCGTGATGTCGGCTCGAGGCAAACGCGCTAGCCAAGGCGGCTGCTAGCGCTGCCGGCTCGTTCAGATTCCCAGCCGTCATCGATCGGGTTGCCGTCGCCGTCACTGTCAAATCTCTCGAGGTTTTCCCAGGACCCTGCAATCAAGGTGAGACAATGTTGTTTATCAACATAAACCCGCACGGTGGGTTCGGACGAGCTATTCTGGGACTCGATCGCCCACGACAACACGTGAAACCTAGAGCCGTCCGTCTAATCCTGGTTCGCCACTCCCGATGCGCCGAACTGCAGTCGGTGCCATCTTGCCGTGGCCGCGCCTCCACCTTGAATTCTTCACGTAACGAACGGCCAGCCACAGAGGCAAGGTACCCAGCAGCATGGGATGTGAGTCGTGTCTGCTCTTGATTCAGTTGGATGCTCCCGGTGCCTGAGAAATGTCCGTGCAAATCCTTTATTCTCCATTTACTCACGGATCGTATCCTCTGGTGAAAATCATTCTATTGATCCGCCGGAGAACTACCTTGCAACGTATGATAGTATCAATGGATACAAACAGCAGGTATTGAGAAAAAAAATAACCCATGCAGAAGTTATTGAGAAGAAGAAAAAAAAACATCGAGGTTGGGCCATCAGGCGTTCAGTGCACAGTTGACATGAATTACATGGCGGGTGTTGTCTGAACGTCGAAAATGTCATTTCGCCACCCACCACTCTCCTGTTCCAGGACCCGATCCTTGGCCTGGGCAGCCTCCTCGTTCCACAGTTTCACGAGGCTCCCTGGAGCGTAAACTCCCTTGAACACCCCGCGACCGGGCTCCGTGATGCCGATGCATGTCTCCACGTCCGGGTCGTCGGCCGGCGCAAGCCTCGCCGCGACTGCCCTGACAAACGTCCACAGGCTGTCCGGGTCTGCAACGCGCGTGGCGCGCAGCCTCTCGCGCGCGTAGAGTAGCTCCCGGTTGGCCGCCTGCAGCCCGTCCGAGACGGCGGTGGCGACCTGCAGCTCGAGCGCCCGGCGCATCAGCGGGAGCACGAACGGCTTGAGCAGCCAGGCGCCCCACGAGAGCTTGCTCTGCCGCAGCGTGTAGTCGAGCTCGTGGATCGTGACCTTGACCGACCGTAGCGTGAGCATCTTCTCCAGGCGTTCCTTGCCCACCTCGACCTCGATGTGCACGTCCATGCCCCGCTCGTCGAGCCGGAACGACGCGATGCCCTCGTCCGCCCACCGAATCAAGCCCGAGTGCGCACGCACCCAGAAGCCGACATCTTGTGCCGCGATGGAGAGACCGTCCAGCTTGATGGCGACTATAGATTGCACCGACGAGGTTGTCTTGAGCTGTCGCGTTTTGCGTATCTCCAGGTCGTTGCGCGTCTCCACTCGGAGCCTGTATGGTAGGAAAGAGCTGCCGTTGATGGTTCGGCCGGGCTCGAGGACCAGATTCTCCAGTAGTAGATCAACATCAGGGGTTGATACCTCGAGTCGCGGGATTGGCACATATTGAATCCCTTGCACCAGGAGCGGGACGAAGACGTTGACGCAGTCGGCCACGAGGTCGGCATTGATGTAGCTGCTTCCTGGCGATAATATGCGTCCGACCTTGGACATGGTGTTTAGAAGGCGTGCGATGTCGGCGTCGTGCAAAACCGACTGCACTACGACCTGGAGTTGTGCAAGCGCACCGTCCACTTCTTGACGAATGGTTGGCCCGGAAGCGAGCTCTTGCGACTGATTCCTGAGCTCCTTGAGGCGCTCTTCGGCTTGGTCGTAGAATGATGGATCCGACAGGAGTGCCTCGACCGAGTTTCCCACCTGGCGGACCAGTTCGTCAAAATCAGGATCGCTCTGGCCGCGTTCCGTGATCTTGTTCAGCCGCCGCTCAAGCTCCTCCCATTCCTTGCGGTCGCCAAACGACTTTACCAGCGACCAAAAGTTCTTCATGGCCCGGTCCGTCTCCGGGTTGACATTGACGTCATCCTCGGCGACCTGCATGGCGTCATCAACCACGTGCGAGTAGACCATGGCGTAGCGCTTGAGAAGCAGGGAGAGTGTCGAGACCGAGTTGGAGTAGTCCTGGCGCTGCCTGAGGTTCGTGACGGCGCTCTTCAGGCGATAGAGTAGCGCATCCTTCTCGGGGCCCTTGATGTGATCCACCAGACTGTGTTGAGCCTCACTGGCTACCTCTGCGACCCCTTCGGCAAGCACGCTTGTCACATCTTCCATCTCTTTGGTCAGCTCCCCTTCGGTTGGGCCTTGGTCTTCCTTTCTGGTCAGAGACTGATCGCTGTCGACCTCTGGCTGCTTCCCGTTCGATTCGGTGCCTAACTGCTTCAGAGATTCCTGCTCCTCCTGCGAAGGCTCGATTTGTTTTGCCGCCTTCTTGGACACTTCGGAAAGCTTCAGCGCAGTGTCACTGAACACCTCCTTCCCCACAGTGCCCAGGTCAGACAAGAATAGCCGAAAGTCTGAGTTTGTCAACAGCAGCGAGCCCACCGTCCGCAAGCTTTCATAAGCAGCGGCGGTGTGTGCCTTGGATTGAGCCTTGGCCGCGCGATTGGCGATATCTTCAAAGTCGACAGACACCCTGACTTGTGACAGGTGCCAGATGAAATCCTGAACCTGGTCCTCGGAATTTTTATGCTGCAGGAGCTCGATGATATTCTTGAGGGTCTCCCTGGAGAAATGGAGCAAGGCACGGCCGGAGTCGCTCAGATCGTCGGCCGGGGGTGATGGATGGAGGAGCTCCGAGGCCATCAAAGTGCGCAGGTTGATGATGAGCTGCTCGTTGGTGGGCATGTATCCTTGCGACAGAGCCCTGAGCATCTGGTACGTGTGCAGTTTCTGGTGAAGTGCCGCCTGCATACTGGTCTCGTCGTCATATTGCGCCAGGAGAGGCTCTCGCTGCTCCTCCTCGGTAGGGCCGCAAAGCCCACAGCAGGTGAACATCTCGGCGGCTGTTCTGGGATCCATGATGCTTGGCTGGAGGAAGGTTTACAAAGGTGAGCAGGTCGACAGACTTGGGCCGTCGCCAGCGATGTGAGGATGGAGAGTTCCTTTCAATCCTAAAATCAACGCGTCACATCGTCGTCCGTGGTAGCACTATCGATGGAACGGGCAAATGATGACGTCATATCTGCTTCTGCTTCACTGCAGCTAAGGCGTAGGTTGGTTTTGCGACGCGAGTGAGTGTGCACGGCCCATTTCTCAATTGGGCAACTCCGCATTTATGCTCTTGGCATTTCATTTTTCTCTATGCTGAAGGCGGGAACAGCGGAGTAATGAAAATCCCTCAAGATAGAAGCCTGAGGTCCATTTTAGTTTCTATCCTCGTGTAAGGCAATTATTGGGTGCAACATATGCGAGGACCCCGATTTGCTGCCAATTTTTGTGGCCATGTTCTGACCGCCACGCTCAAACTCTTACGCCAGCGACGCCACAACCGCCTCGACGCGGGCCTTGCTCTGCTTCTCGGCGTCGATGAAAAACTCGAGCGCGTCGTCCAGCCGCTTCTTGGTGGCCGGGTCCGCCTGGATCGCCTTTTGGAGCTCCGCGCCGCCGTTTGCGAGGTAGTCCACCTCGGTGCTTGGGAGCTTGCCGTCCCACAACCCCTGCGTCAGTGGGTCCTTGCCAAGCAGCGCCTGGAGCCGCTCGGGCAGCGGCTTGGGGTCGCTGTATGCGTGGGAGGGCTTGGGCACTCCCTCGCCAGGCTGCTTGGCCGGGTCGTACGGGGTCTTGGCCAAATCATCGAGGATTTCTTTGGGCAGAGTCGCCGATTGGCAGCCAAGCTCGCCCGACGCCATGGCCTCCTCGACCGAGATGAAGCTGGCGCTCTTCAGCAGCGGCTGCATCTTGCCCGTTTCCTTGTAGAGGCGCCTGTAGGTGTCGAGGATCTGGACCAGGCGGGGAGTCATGGGGTGCTGGGAAACCGGGTCCGTGGTTTTGGGCCAGACCTGGTCCCTCTTGGCAGGGTCGTGTGCGTGGATCTCGTTGTAGTAGGGGCTGATGGACAGACAGTCGGCCTGGCTGCACGCGATTGCCTGCACGACGCTGAAAAGGGCCGTTCCCAAGGTCGCGATCCCTTCGCCGTGGAGGATCTTGGCGGCGTTCAAGGCCGGCCCCGTGCTGGGGATCTTGATGCAAAACCGCTCTCTGGGGATCCCGGCCTTGGCAAACTCTTGGTCGTAGAGGCGAGCGTGCGCCAGCGTGGCCTCGGTGTCGTAGGCGCTGGCAGGAGAGGTCTGGAGCAAGACGCGGCCGCTGATGAGGTCGATGTTCTTCTTGCACAAGAGCACAGCCACGCGGGTGTAGATGGCCAGCCAGTCCGCGCCCTTGAGCTCCTTTGCCACTTGTACCATCAGGTCCCGGTTCGCCGGGTCGGCGAGCTCCAGATCAACAAACTTTTGGTTACTGGTTTGGTCGTGCGGCTTGATGGGCATTGATTTGATGAAGTCATGGTCCATGCAGTCCACATCGACATCGACTGGTTTCGTTTCTCTCGTTAACCATCTCTTGGCTGAGTAGGCTTGCGGTAACGGCCTGGAAGTCTAGTACTCACGTAGCTCCTCCAGCTTCTCAAGGCAGGATACTTGTTTGGCGGCCATTTTGGGAGGTTCAGGAGTTCCCAGCTACCTAGTGACGGGGTGTTCTTTCAATCAGGTGTGAGGGCGCTGGTGTAGTCGCTGATGGTGAGAGAGGAGATGGATAGATTCACAAGAAAAGATATATTCGCTTCCAAGAGGAGCACTGGCAGCATAGCTGTCTAGGTATCTGGCACGCCCAAGTGGGTTAATGTTTTGGTCGGGTACCGAAAGTGGTGGTGCAAAAGCGGGGTGACGGCGGCCGCTGCGGCACCGTGGGACTGCGTCCAGCGGCCACATGACCTCGGCTCGGGGCTCCCTCAACGCCCCAACCAGTGGATTGCTATGCAGAACAGCGGGTAGGGTGTGGGACAATGGACTCCCGACAGATGCATTGCTGGCCGTCGTGTTGTCCACTGGCACCCACTAACGTTGCCGACTTCGGAACAAAGGAGGACCGAGGTATGCTTGGAATTTCTATATCCCTTCAACAGGAAAGGAAAAATATGCGTTGTTGATTGAGTGCATATCCAGATATGTACAAATGTGCTAATGCTGGTCACATCCCGTCCCCTGCCGCAGCTTTGGCGGCTCTGGCAAGGGAGATCTCAGCCGCCATCTTACAGTCGTCGGCGAGATAGTCGGCGAGAACACGTATAGGCTTCCAGCCTAGCCTCTTCGCCCTCGTGGAGCTCGCCCTGCTATTAGAGCCCCAGATGTACAAGGTCAACAAGGGAAATATGTCCTTGAAATGTGGCGGCAGTAGAGCCCTGACTCTGTCCTCGTCCCAAGACGCCGTCTCGGTCCCCTCGGGCAGCCACCCCTGCTCCTGGCCGATCTTGCAGATGGCCTCGGCGGCCTGTTTCCACTCAATCTCCTCCGAGACGGCAAAGTAGAAGCCGTCCTTGCCGTACTCGAGCCCGGCGCCGCTCTCGAGGAGGTACTTGCGCAGGATCAGCACAAACAGGGACGCGACGTCGTCGATGTGCGTCACGGCGCGCCTGTTGGCGCCCTGTCCTAGGTAGAAGGCCTCGCCGTGGCGGATGACGGCGTCGACGTACATGGGAACCAGGTAGGTGCCGCGGCTGCCGCCGACCTCGGGCCCCCTGCCGAAGATGTCAGGGGGCACGACACAGACTGTCTTGACGAGGCCGCTGCTGGCGTCCTGGAACGACTTGTCGATGGCGCGATGCAGGTTCGTCAGAGGCAGGTCGTAAATGTCGTCAACGTGCGCCACGTCGTCCCACACGTGGGGGTTCAGCTCGCCCTCCCAGTTGTTGCCGGATATGTCGGCAATGCATCCGGTGCCTGAGAGGTGAACCACAAAGGTCTCGGACCTGCGCTTGCCGACGCCCGAGAGGATGGCCTTGGCGCACCCGGCGTGGTCTATGTCGCCCATGTGAATGACGACGTCGGCGGCCTGTGATGCCCGCTCGATTATGTCAAAGTCGTCAAAGGTCCCCTGGATAATCTTGACCGAGGGGTAGCGCGAGACGAACTTGTCGTCGGGCCGCCGCATCAGGGCGGTGACCTCAAGGTCCGGGAACGTCTCAACCACCCGAGCGAGCACGGTGCCCCCGATATAGCCCGTGGCGCCGGTGACGAAGACCTTTTTGGACGACATTTTTGGCGTAGAGAGCTAGCCAGACTTGGATGTGTTGGAGCACTTGTGGCTTGCCTCACGAGGAACGCAATGAAGCAGCGAGGTGACGACGAGGATAGGATAAAGTAGCGAGGTGAGGATGATGATAGCCAAACAGTAGTGAGCCAATGATAAAATCGACCTGAAATATATATGCTTTTCAGGGGTGGTCCCCCTTCTTCGCCTCGGCGCAACTTTCAGTCGTGATGACAAATGCTGTGGCTCGCCCGAAGGTGGAAAGGCTACGGCGGACAAGGAAGAACACGCACTTCCCACGACCCTCACCTGTTCGATAGCCTTATTCTCTGCCCTATACCATTTTGATTCGTTCCCCACTTCCATTTCCTCCTCGGCGACTAAAATATGAATTTGTAAGCTGTGAGCAGGAGCTTCGTCCTCCTCTTCCAAGCTCGACACTTTCCTGAACAACGAGCGTTACTCCTGTAAGGAGGTAGGTGCCGTATATTGTGTGCGAATAAAGAGATTGTCCATCTGAGTGAGGGGGATCGGCCAACGGATATTTTATCTGACCCCGGTCATCGGAAGCCCGTGTCTCCCCTCCCGCCCTCTGTGTACAAGTGATCACGTGACCAGCCACACGCGCAAGGTCACTGGCGAACATTGCCCGCACCTTATCTGGTCCCGTCTGCCCTCGCGAAATATTCGGCCGAGTACCTCCCATCCGCCCCCCTCCCGCCGGCGTCGTCCGCATCCGCCTCCCTCACCTCGGCCAGGTACCGGTCAAACTTCTCCGTCACGCCGATGGCCCGCTTTAGGTGCCCAAAGGTCATCTTTTCCTTCATGTACTTGGCCAGCTGCCGGCCCGTGGTGATGGCGTTCCGTATCTCGCGCCCGTTCATCTCGTACCCGGCCAGCTCGTCCATGTGAGACGCCACCTCGCTGAAGTCGATGCTGTCGCCCTCGCCAAGCGCGCGCAGCCGGTTCAGGAAGTTGCGCCAGACCTGCTTGCGCTGGTCCCGGCCGAGGGGCTCGTACCGCAGTGCGAGCTGGATGCGCGACTTGAACGCCTCGTCAAAGGTGCCCACGCGATTGGTTGTCAGGATCAGGATGCCCTCGTAGTACTCGAGTTGCCGGAGGAAAACCGAGACAAGCGCGTTCCTCTTGAGGTCCTGTAGCGTGCGCTGCTCGAGAAAGACCTCAGCTTCGTCAAGGAGCACCACGCAGTCCCAGATCTTGCCCAGGTTGAAGACCTTGGAGAGGTATTGCTCCACGATATCGGGCTCGGTGCCAATGTCGCCACACGTGACTGAATAGAGGGGCTTCCTGGCAATCTCGGCGACAGATTCAGCCGTGAACGTCTTCCCTGTGCCCGGCGAGCCGTGCAGGAGCATTATTAGGCCGTTGCCCTTGCTGTCGATGAGGTCGGTGGCCGTTTCGGAGGCAAGCTGGTTGGTGACCAGCGCCAGGACGAGCTCTTTCATGTCTTCGTCGGCGACGAGAGAATGGAAGGCTTCGTCGTTCCACGCCACCTCCCCTATTCGGTCGACTTCGAGGTTGACTTTTCAAGTGATCAGCAGGGAGGGAAGGGCAGAAAGGAAGTAGGTCGACAGATACTCACCCCACTTCTTGCGGCGTAGGTCAAAGCCGGGGAGGTGTCCCGGAAACAGGTAGATGCTAGGCGCCGCAGGTTCGCTGCCATCCGTGGGCAGGTCTAGCTCAGGATGCGAACCAAGGGAATCATGCCCAGCCATGCCAATCTTCTGATAAGACATGGATCGCAGGTACGGGTTGTCTGGGTGAAGTTCCTTGTAAGTGGCAAAATCGGTCATGAACCGTTGGCGCTGTTGATTCGTTAGCCATCGGTCTTTTTATAACAGACGGGGACGCCACGTACCGCATGCTTCTTGTCTTTGGAGTTCGGGTCTGCTTCGTAGGAAACCAAACGCTTGCCACGGCACTTCCAAAAAGTTTTCCCTCGACGCTCTAGCACTTCTTTAATCTCATCGCCCGCATACTGGAGGGGCGCAGCCTTCAGGTTTGCGATGTCAACTTCTCTGTCTAACGAATTGCTTTCGGAGTGCAGAGTGATAATCTTGTCCGTTCGATAGAATTCACCTGCGTACGAGTATGAGCACGCGTTTACTTCCCAGAGCCGCTGCTGTAGCTTTTGTTGTCCTTCCTTGATAGTGAACCTTGGTCGCTCCGTTGCTAGGTAGCCCTTTGGCATTCCGCTACCGTCATCTTTAAGGACAAGTATCTGCCCAGGGTGGATGAAGTATTCGATGGACTCCCCGGAAACTCGGCCTGTGCGGAACTGGTGCTCGATCGCGTTGTACAGGGGCCCGAAGCTTGCTTCTAGCCAGTCAGTGAGGGCGGCCACTAAGTTGGCTTGCCCGGGAGGGAGGTCTTGGGTTTTATGCTTTTTGCGGCAGTGATACCACCATATATGGGGGGATATGATCATCCTCTCGAATCCTCTGCCGTCCGACTCCAGAAGATCGGCGCAGAAGGTTGGGTAATGGGCGATGAATGCTTTCACGGCCTGGACCATCTCGCTCGAGACGAGCTTCACATCCTGGTAGGCTGGCTGCGGGCTGGGGAGTGGCTCATTGGCCTTCATGGCCTGTTCTACCTCGGATTTTTGGTGCTCGACCGTGTAGTGTTTGTAGACGGCGAAGGCGATGTTGCCTCTGTTCTCAATGTAGCCGTCGGCATAGCGCACGGGGGAGTAGCCCCTGAGTATGATTTCGTCGTCATGCGTCTGCCATTCTGGTTCGACCAGGTAGGTTTCCGGGTCCTCGCGGTCTCCCAGACAGTGGAAAACTTGGATGTTAATGGTGGGAGCGTTGAACATGTCCAGGTTAGACTTTGGAATCCCGAAGTGAGCCTCCAGGCTGTGAATATACTCGAGCATGCTTCGAGCAAGATCCGTGCCTGGTGACAGGGCCGAAGACGCGTTGGCGGTTGCGTCAAAGCCCGCCCCCAATTTCCCATACCTCGAGGCTGCATCCAGGGGAACAGGCATCGGCATTCGGTTTGTGGGCACCGATCGTGTCGCTTGCGCCTCCATCGCCAACTCCGCCTCCCGCTTCGCCGCTATCTGCAGTTGCCTCCGCGCTTGCTCAATTCGACTCTTCTGTTGTTCCCGCTCCTGCTGCATCTTTGCCAAATTATCCAACATATCCCTGGAACCCCCCACCTCATCTTCGGATATGGTGTAGTGAGTTTGGGGGAGCTCCTCTTGAGCGAGCGCTCCTCCAAGATTGAGGGCCTGTCCTGGCAAGGGTTGTGGCTGTGGTTTTCTCCCTTCCTGCTCCTGCTGCGCCATCAATAGCTGGTGTTTATTGCTCTGCTCTAGGGCCCCCACCTGCTGTTTATAATCTTGATAGCGTCGGAGTACGGGGTTTTTGGACTCTTGGGTCTCCGTCTGCAATATGGGGTTGTTCGAACGGGGAGGTGCTGGTGGGCGCAGAGGAGGCGGCATAGTTTGTCGCTCCGTCCCTGTGATAGCCGCCCGAAGTGGGAGACGAGCTCTAGTTAACTCCATCAGCTCCGACTTCAAGGGCACGGCCGGCTGGATTGGGCTGCCGAGACGGCTGAGGCGTGCTGGGAACGGGATAGCGAGGTTGTGGTTGCTGCTTTCGCCGCCAGGGAGCGGGGAATGACGATTCTCAACGACGTTTGGGTCGGATTCCATCATTGTTTGATCTCGTCCTGTCGTAGTGACGGAATCTCAGACTGAAATGGGCAGACAGAGAAAGAGAAAGCTGCAAGAAGGAGAGCAACAAGGTGAAGAGTGGTCAGGCCATATGCAGCCGAAATGCGCTTTTGCTCAGTCAACCCCTCCCCGTCACCCTTTTGCGAATTGCGACCCCTCATTCACACTTGCGCCGTTGTCGCTGATTGGTGAGGCTACGCGAATACCTAGCCACACCCTCGCGTCACCCAGCGAAGGAGGGGCTGGGAGCCGGATCATGGCGACCGCGGCTGCTTTACTTCGACGGTGCCATTTCACCCTGGCCACTGGCAAATCTTGCCGCGGCGCCGGGCTGCGCCGACTTCTCCATCTCGCTTGGCGGAAACGAACTCCCAATGAAAATGGATCATGATACCCAGACCTCCTGGACCGGCGATATCCATGGTAAGCCTGCGGCGTAAGGCGTCAACATACACGAGATCGAGGCTCACGCGAACAGGCGACACCTCGGCCATTGCGAGCGACGCCTTCAAGGCCGCCAAGACACACTTTGAGCAGAGCAGCAGCCTGAGTGACCAAGAAAAGAAGCTTCTGGGCGGTTCGTCCTCTATCGAAGACGTGCAGCAAATAGTGGCCAGCTTGGTAACCAAGTATGAGTCCAAGAGCGACTCATCAAAAACGCGAAGATGGCTTCAAAGGACCTCGGAGACCATCTGCCACTACGGAGCGGCCCTCGACGTATTTGTTCAGCAAAATCCCGAATACGTCTCCCTGGTCTGGGGCACCTTCAAGCTGTTATTTTCCGTGAGCGTCTCCTTACTAGAGCGTGCCTCCATATTAACGACCGGAAATGGGCCCAAGCTAACTCAACCCTCCGTATAGAGCGTGGTAAACCATGGCGAAACGCTCAAGCTGCTGGCCAAGGCCACATCTCAGATTGCGACGCGCCTCCCGCGGATCAAGATGCTGTCCAGGTTGTATGCCACTCAACACATGCGGGAGGCCATCGAGAGTCTGTACTCGGCAATCCTCGAATTCCTTCTGACTGCCCACTCGTGGGTAGGCGAGTCCAAACTCCGACATATCTATCACAGCCTCACACGGCCGCCTAAACTGCAGTACGCCAGCGTTCTCGACAAAATCGTTGACTGCTCAAACAACATTTTTGAACTAGCTACTCTTGGCTCACAGGTGGAGGTCCGTGCTATGCATGCATCGCAAGCTCAAAAACTAGATGGCATCCTGTCGGCCCAGCATGCCGCAAAGAGAGAGCGATCCAGTCATCAGGACGGCCTCGCCCAGATTGCTTCGCGAATGGAGATCTCGGGCAGGAACCACGAGAATAAGTTGGATCTGATCGTATCGCTGCTGGGGGCACATAGTCTAGACCTCGAGCAGCTTTTGCTAAAGGCAGAAGGTACAGCTTTGTCAGACTCCGGCAGGCAATCAACCAACCGGCTAATCTACAGTCGAGCACAGCGATCCGTAGTCTCCAGACAAGCGCCCAGCTCGACACCAACCAGCAGCTCTCTGGGCCCCAGCTGGAACAGATCCTGACCGCACTCTCCCCAGCCTTTGCGGATCCCGAGCAAGCCTACAAGCACCACCTCCTCCTGCGCAAGCGGAGGGCATCAGGCATGGGCACCAGGACCTCCACCAACCCGTTCTGGCTCTCCCCAACGCTGGCGCAGTGGTCGTCTAGCCGAGGCTCGTCTCTGGCCGTCATCAAGGGCGCCTTCAGCTCGCGCCCGGCCATCCTAGACTTTGGCACCAGCGTGATCCAGAGCTTGTCCGCCTCGGCCACGCCCACGCTGTGGGTCTTGCCGGGCGCCGGGAAGCCGGCGTCCGGCTCCGGCATGCTCACGCCGACGGACCTGATGAAATACCTCACTTACCAGGCACTGCGGCTGAGCAGCCGGGCGCGCGCCGCCGCCCCGACGGAAGCGCACATGGCCCTGCGCCACTCGCACTTTTGCGCGGCCGCGACGGCAGAGGAGTGGTTCGGCGTATTTGAGCGGGTCATTTCGAGCATCCCTGGGGAGCGGGTCTGTCTCGTCGTGGACATGGCGGCAGTGTGCAACGAGTTGGCGCCGGGCACGACACCAGGGGCATTCAACTTCATCCAAGAGCTGCATTCACGCATGGTGAGAAGTCAAGACGACGGTGCGTCGAGACGCGGAAAGACGAGGGTCAAGGTGGTTCTTCTTGTCTATGAAGCCAGTGGGTCTGGCCAGCTGCCGAAGGGGGTCTCGGATTTCGTCGTCCCAGTCAAAGTAACAAGGTCCAAGGCGCCGAGGGCTAGCAGGGGGAGGTTGAGGGGTGGTAGGCGGTGCTGATTACGTGGGCCAAAGTACGGGGGTTGATTCTACGCCAAAAAATGTGGGTTACCTTCCCGTCAGACATGTCTCCCAACACCCAAGGCTTCTCAGCGTCCTTCCTAGACCGACGTGTTCCCGAATGATGCACTTATTTAAAGGGCTGGAATTGGAGAATCCGGCTCTTGAGTACGGCAGGGTAGAGTTTATTTGTGAGAGCAATGACAGTTTGAGGAGATGTCGTAAAAAGAAGTCGTCGACAAGCGTACAAACGCCCGGCCAAGGCTCCCCAACGGAGTTCGGTTTCTAGCCAAACGCACACACCTAACGGGAGGGGTGTATCGGCTGCGTGGTGGTGGGGAACGATGCAGCCCAGCAATTTGAAGTTACACAAGTCCTGGAATGGGGAGTTTTGCTGCTCGGCCCTCACCAACGCCGAAATGTCGTTGCCGTCCGGTGCGTATTGGAATGGTTTAGGGCACTCACCCCGGCCCCTACTTCGTCGGGGAGCACTGCGCGGTTCTAGGTCTTACAAAGTTGGAAGGCCTTAGCAAGGCCACGGCTATGCGTCTGTAAAACAATGACTGGTCATGGGCTCGCCTGAGCCCAGCAGCCTTTCAGCAGTTGGGTGGCTTTGTTCGACCAGATATGGCCTTTCGGGCTGGCCTTGGTCCCTCGACATGAAAGGCAACAATGCTGCCTCTTCCGCGACCAGATATAAATTTCGGCCTGTCTCCCCTGGCACACTTTGTTTGCTTCCCGCCACAACAGCACATCTTGACAGAAGACACAGACCCGGGACCAGACAGACCCCAAGACACCATTCATACTGATCATCACCTTGACTTCATCACCTTGACTTCTTCCAAGCAAACATGTCGAACCTATCCCCTGATGCCTGCTCTCGAGGCAGCGACACCAACAGCCTCCCAATTGCAGGGCAGCACAAACCCCCGCATCGCCTGGACCATGGCGAAGCCATCGCGCCCGTGACGGGGCCGGAGGATAATACCAACCAAGACGCGACAGACGCCAGCGCGGCTCAGCAGCAGCAGCAGCGGCCGCTGTCAGACCACCTGGCGCCGCCGCCGGAGGACAGTACAGGCATCCACTCGCTGCCCGCCGAGCTGCTGACCGAGATCTGCGAGTTCCTGATCGCCAAGGACGATCGGGTCCGCACCGAGCCTGGCGATTGCAGGCGCGGGCCCGACGCGAGCGCCATGCGGCCGCTCCTCGCGCTCTGCCTCACGTCGAGGCGCTTCGCCTCCGCCGCCCGTCACACGCTGTACAAGACCGTGTCCTTCTACGCGCCGTCACGGACCATCACCCCATCCCGGCGCGCGCCGCCGCCGCCCGTGACGAGGGAGGGTAAGGCGAAGGCGAGGGCGGAGGCGAAGGCCAAGGCGAAGGCGGAGGCTGAGGTGGCCAGGCTGAGCGTGCAGGGCCAGAGGAGCCTGGTGCTGTTCCTGCGGAGCCTGCTGGAGAGCGCGTCGCTCCAGCCCCTCGTCTGCCACCTGGACTGCCTCGTCAGTCTCCAGGGGTACATAGACCCCGACACTCCTCGAAAGCCGCAACCAAACGGCCAGCTCGTGCAGGGGTTTTGGGAAGACGTGCGCCGCGGTGTCAGAGTCCAGCGCCGAGCGGATCTGCACGTTCTACGGCTGGCCGGCCTGATCAAACCGACGCCATCGTGGCAGAGGAGTGGCTCGGGCGGTCAGGATGGGTCCCCGCTTACGCAGCCCCCGGCCACGGAGCTGTACGTGGGAGGTCGCATCTACGTCGCACTCCTCTGCCTCTGCCCCCGGCTGAAGTCCACGTCGTTCGCGGTTCCGGTCCAAGCGGCCGCGATGAACCCTGCCATGGAGCACCCGGGATCACTCGCTAATCCGTATCAGGAGCTATCCGGGATCCTCGAACAGGCGCTGAACAGCGAAGACATCAACCCTTCCTTGCTCTGTAATCTCGAAACAGTTGCCGTGGCGAGACAGTCCGTTGCCAGCAGCGGATCCCAGGGGGGACGCCAGACCGCCGGCAGAATCGGTTGCGGTCTCCTCACGAGCCTCACGCGGCTGCCGTCCGTCCGGACCGTGGAGCTCGACCGCCTCCGGATCTGCCTGCCTCCGAACCTCGACGTCGACGGGGTCGAGAGCCTGCGCGTGGGCGGCCTCTTCACGAGCGCCGACATGGTCAGCATCTTCTCGTCCCCCGCGCTCAAGCACCTGCATCTCAGGGCTTACGGGAGGAATGGGGTGGCCTTGGCCAAGGACACAGAAACGGGCGTCCTCAGCCGCGCCGTCCCACTCGCGGCCGCGTCCCTCATCACCCTCGACATGGGGCTGCCGGAGGTGTCCTCGCCGTGGCGGCACCCACATGGGAACGGCCCGCACCGCCAAGCCTCGTCCACCCTCCGCTGGCTCTTGGGGTGGGACGCGCCTGGCCGGATCCGCTGTCTGCCATCGCTGCGGAACCTGCGGGAGCTGCGCATTGACGCGGCCCTTCTGCTCGGCGACGCCAGCTTTGCCTTGCCGGCCAACCTTGGCCGCATGCTGCCCGCAGGGCTCGAGCGGCTATACATTAGGGAAGCCCACGGGATGCATCCGAACAGAGAACTTTTGGCTGGGTACTGGAGCACCTCGCATCAATCATACCGGCATTGGATGGAGGGCTGCTTGCTCCGGATCGCAGCCACCTGCACATCCCAGCTCAGGAGCCTCCGCGAGGTCAGGTTTGTTCGAAGCCCCGACCAACCGGAGTGGGAGTTGGCTGTTGTCTCGAACGCTTTCCGGGATGTGAATGTGAAGTTCATCTGAGGGCATTACTCCAACATGACAACACAGCATACAGGCCCCTGAGATGAAACCAAAAAGATTCGACGAGTGTGATAGACCGGTGTCGTAAAGAACATTCTGTCAGAGGAATGAATATAATAATACCAAGCCTAGGCCAGATAATTTCTCACAGGTGAAGAGATTGATGGGCGGGGAATCCAAGAAAAGATTAATAATACAAGCTATGGACAGGCCAGCATTTCTAGCTCCATCTTGACGCCAGCCTCTGCGAACAGGGCCTTGAGCCGCTCAAACTCGGCCGGGGATGGGCCCTGGTCCTCGGGGCAGTCGCGTCCCTTGATCTTTGTGATGGGCCCGTCGTCGTCGACGGGCGTGGGCGCCGGCGCGTTGCCCACGAAGCCGAACCTGGCGAGGCGCGGGGTCCGCGTCGCACAGTCCTTGGAGAAGCCGGCCAGCATCTCCAGCAGCCTCCGCCGGTACGCCGCCACTTGCGGGCCCCCCTCGGCCTCGCCCTCGTCGCCGCTGAGGCAGGCAGCGTCGCCGTACGTCCACTGCTCCAGCACGGTCAGGGCCCGGAGGCTGTGCGGTATGAGGTCGGCGAGCGGGGCGCCGCCGCCGCCCATCTCCTCCGAGGTGCCGAAGAGTGCAAATAACTCTATCTTGAGCTCCTCGAGCTCCGTCAGGCGCGGCAGGCAGTGCAGTCGCCTTTGGGGTCCGTAATTTGACGTCAGGGTCTCATTGCCCATGGTCTGGAAGTCCAAGTACTTGAGTGTTGATGCGCGCTTCAGCAGCGCATTATTAAATTCGTCGTCGTCCACCTCGGCCTTGATCATGTCCATGGCCGCGGGTCGCACCGTTAATCTCTCGAGGTTCGGGTAGTCGCAAATGGTGCCTAGAGTGGTCGGTTTCAATATGCCACCTATCCTTATGTCCCTCGTCTGCCGCGGCAACGCATCCCACCCACCGCTTTCCTTGAAACCCTCGACCACAGTGACGTTTGGGGCCCTGAACAGGCCCGGACATGCGTCGAGTCGAACGCCCCTGCAGATCTCCTGATCTTCCTCATCGCCGTCGTCGTCTTCGTCTTCGTCGTCCCGGTGCTCGTCATCCCAGCCAAAATACAGAAAGGACCCCATGTCGGGCTGTACCGTGACGGCGGTCAGGTTTTGTAGCACGCTCGACCCCACCACTTCGTCCTGCAGGGCCGTGTCAATAATGTTGCTGGTGACGGCGCACCGTATTGTTTCTATGTTGGACGGTATCACGGAGCATCGGGGCATCTGGAATACCACCGAGTCCAGGTTAGAAGCGAGGCAGAGGATGGCGGCAAAGATGCGTTCAGGCAGGCCTTGGAGGGACGAGTCCTCTGGTATGGGACCGGTCTCGGTGGTGGCATCTGCGTTAGCGGCGGCGGCGGTTGGATCGGGTGTCGCGCGCGTGGGCAGGCCGGCGAGCTGTAGGATGCGGGCGTCGACCAGCGACGGAACCGCGATGCCCAGGCAGTGCGAGTTCCATAGGTTCCGTATGGCCTCGAGCTCGCGGCGGGACACGCGCGAGCCCTTGAGGTTGACGAGACAGGCGATGTGGCGGAGGGTGGGGCGCACGTGGGGGGCAGCCAGCAGGGAGCGGAGCAGCAGCAGCATGGGAGGCAGCTTGAGGTCGAGCTTCGGTAGGCGCTGGCCGGGCCCGTGGATGATGACGACCTCGTAGAGAAAGGGGACTGCGGCGCGCTGCAGGCGGCGCGAGGTGAGGCAGAGCTGGCGCAGTGCGGCGCGGTTGTCGGCGAAGCGGTCGGGCAGGAAGGTGTCGCCGGCCTGGTAGGGCGAGAGCGAGAAGCAGGCACAGATCAGGCGCAGGATTTCGCAGGGCATGGCCTCGAGACCCAGCCCGGCAACGGCGGCCGGCCCCGCGGCCCCGCGCTTCAGCTGCATGTTGGGTTGCGGCTCTTGTTTCTGGTGAGGGGTGTTGGGTGCTGGTGGTATGTCTTTCTGTCTCTGACCGTCAGTCAGTCTGTCCGCTTTGAGGCGACCCCAGTCGCTCGCTTTCGGTTCACTTCTGACGGCGATGGCCAGTGTCTGCCAGCTCGACCAAGGCGCCCGGAGATGATGGCAGCTTCACTTGTTAGGCCACGGCAAGCCCGCACATGGCACCACGCGATCCGGACGAGGGAGCCGAAAAGGGCGGCTGGCCACGGCTTCTTGACAGGCTGGGCGATAGCGGGATTTAACGTTTCGAAGCCAAAGGTAAAACGCTGACAGTTGCACGTGCCCGCGTCGTGGCAGTGCACCCGGCCCGGCCCACGACTCGTTCACCGTCCCAGGCGCCGTCGATTTCTGGGGGCGGGCTGCTTGACCTTGACGTCAGGGCCTGCCATTGTTGTCGTCGTGATGGGTTTTTGGTCGGCGACTTGCCCTCCTTCCATGCCGCCAGCACCAGTCACAGCGCCAGCCATCGGCCGCCAGCACCACGAGGGCACGCGCCGCGCCGTCGCCTGCCAATTGCAACATGGCGGACGCGTAATTCGCACCTTAGCGCCCTCGCGGCCACAGCACCCCAAAGTCGGATAAATGCCTCTCTGGTGCGCGGCTGGTGGACTGGTGGACTGGTGGACTGGGAGCGGCCGGCGCACGGGAAACCAGGGTGAAACGCAGCGCGGTGAAGAGAGGCGCCCGGGATATTCCTGTGTCAGCGCCGTTTCTGACTTCAGTTGGGTAGCACTGCCGTATTGCCAGCTCCACTGGAGTGGGACAAAGCGTCGGTATTTGCCCGTATTGAGCCATCAGATTTGCGCTATCTCCATGTCGCCTGACATGGAAATTCGGCGGTGGTGACTAACCCCAGCCATGGACTGCCGTCGGTACAACCTGCCGTCGTCGAGGAGCAAAACTGCAACGGCCTCCTGTCCTCGCCAAGCTCGCATCCAATGCATGCTTATCGGCCAGCCCAGCCCGACCGGACCGCATATCCCCTTAAGTGCCGTTGGGCCCAGGTGCCCGGATTGGAAGGTGATCAGCAAAAGCACCCTGGTTGTTGGTGTGACTTGGAGGTACGGATTTTCAGGGGCGCGGTGCGAGTATTGCGACGTACCGCTTTGTAACAATGACTTGTGCTGGTACTTCTATCACGGACTAAATAAGGCGCAGGCGGAAGTACCGAAAAAACAAACGTTTTTATTGGCTAACGCACGCAAGATCAGCGAGCCTCAACGGCGCTCGAAGGGATGTACCCCATATCTACTGCCCAGGCCAGGTACCCGATAAATTCCACAGTGATTGAACAAACAAGTCTGGAGCAACAAATGACCATAAAATGACCTGTGTGAATTGGTCAAGTCATTAATTAACATGCGTCCTGCTCTACCACCTACTTGAAACAGACAAATAACTGCCGCCACTACCGCCACTGCCTCCATCTGGCGTCAGCTTCAGACGCGTGTATAAGGAATTGGCCTGAAGGAAATTGGGACAGAAGCGCTAGGCTAGCTGTGTATCGCCATCCACCTTCAAGAAGCTGGCAATGTTTCGAATTGCCTGCTCGTCCCCCGCTACCGTGCCGGCCAGGTCCTCGTCGACCTAGTCTTTGGTCCAACCGCCTCCAAAATCAATCAGCCACGCATTGTCGTCTTTGTCGACGACGACATTGCGTATTTTCCCATCTCCCCACACCAGCCCGATCACGTGGAGCCAATCAACCGTCCGGCGGATCTGGAACAGCCATTTTTGCCTCCTTTCGCTGGGGATCGCGCTGATATCCGCGCTGTCAGGGTCGTCCGGTGATAGTTCCAGGCCCGACGGGATCCACTCTCGCAGTAGTCCGATAACACAACCCAGCTCGGCGTGCTTGACGTATCCACGCAGTCTGGGGATGCGGATTTCCGAGGCAGAGTTTATGCGAGCAGCATCGATTTTTCCCAGCGTCTCTAGCTCCCGCGGAAGCCTTAGGTCAGAAAATCCGGCCCCCCTAGCTTTGCAGAGCATGACATCCTGCTCGTTCACCAAGACCCGACCAACGACACCTCCCCCACAAGCAAAGACCTCCTGGAGAAGAACGTCCTTCGAGGAATATTGCGGAAGCGCGTCATCAATATCGAAATCGACATAGGCATCGCGATCGGGGCGGGCGAAATCAATAGACGCCTTGCTGGAGCTGAGCGGTAGAAGGGTTGGCACACCGTGTACAGTCTTGAGTTGGACGTGTATTGTTTCGGGATACAGGGCCGAATGTAGGGTTTCTAAGCCGGTCGGTTTGAGGGCTGGGGCGGGGTTTTGCTCAATGATACCAGCGGCGTCTAGGATATCGTAAATGGCGTTGAAGGCGGCATCCTCCTCGTCATGGTCATGGAGGGGAAAATCGAAGTTGAGAAGACTGATGAGGCGATCCTCCACCGCCTGCTGCTGGGGTGAGGCGCTGGAGAACACGGACACCGCAACGTGCTTGCCGTTCACTTCGACAACGACCTCGGCTTTGTCATCATCACCGGAGGAGATCTGAACAATGGCTATCGAAATGTCTTGGTTGTCGGTCGCAGACATGTTTGTGAACCCTTCTGGACAGTTGAACAGAGGGAACGGTGGGATGCGGGAGAAGGGAAAAAAAAAGAGTGAGGAAGATAAGAGGGTCAAACGTGGGTCGCTTGGCTCTCGTTGAATAGTGATTCTCAAAAGAGCAGGAAATTTAAATGTTGTATTCTACGACGCACTAGGAACTTTTGAGATTAGATAGAAAAAGACCAAAATAACAAAGGAAAGAAACCCAAGGTTCACCCCCCAACTCAATTCGCACTCAAAAGGCTCCCACAAACAACTTTTCCGACTCCTCCTCCGCCATCACATCCACAATAGCAGCAATATCCTGCGCGATCTTCTCCGCGTCCCCCTGAGCATAGCACGTCTCGTCGTACATGATCTTGAGCGCGTGCCGGTCGCCCAGGGCCTTGGATACCTCGACGACCAGCTCGTACGGCTGGAACATGCGCACCTTGCTCTTGGCCATGACCAGCCAGCGCGGGCGCTCCTGCTCCGAAGGGGCGGCGGGCTCGAACGGCTGGAAGAGGAACAGGACCTTGTTGCCGTGCGTCTCGCGCGCCAGGCCCGCGGCGCCGTAGATGGCATCCATGCCGACGGACGCGTGCTCCGTCATGGCCCAGAAGTCGTCCTGCACGCGGCCCAGGAAGCCCGGGAGCGGCTCGGCCGGGTCCACGGCCGTGCGCACGGGGAGGAACTGCGCGAGCGTCCCGTTGATGCTCTGCGGGTCCGGCAGGGCCACGTTGCGCCCGCTGAGCAGGTAGTCGAAGTTGACGTCGGCGCCGTGGGCGCTGCCGCCCAGCCACAGCGAGAAGGCCGCCTGGAACACGATGCTGGGCGTGACCCCGAGCTGCCTGGCCGCCCGCTCCAGGTTCGGCGTGGCGACCTCGTGCCGCAGCGCCGCCGTGATGATGGGCGCCGAGTCTCCGCTGTCTGCCGCCTTGATGGCTGCTGGCTTGCCGGCCATGCTCCGGGCCCAGTAGGCCAGGTCGCCCTTCTTGTCCGCCTGCAGCATGTGCTCCGCGAAAGTGCGGAACTCGCCGTGGCGCGGCACCGGCTCCCCGTTGACTATGGCGGCGAAGTGGTCGTCAAAGACCCGCAGCAGCGTCCCGTCGTACACGGCGTGGTCCATCTTGATGACGAGGACCCAGGAGCCGTCCGGGCGCGCCAGCTGCGCGTACTTGATGAACGGCTTGCCGAATGTGAAGCGCGACTCCCAAAACTCCTCGGTGAAGCGCGTCACGTCCTCGTCGGTCTCGCAGGCCGCCCTCGCGACGTCGGGCCGGGGGCTGCGGAGCACCACGCCGACCCAGTCGTCCAGGGCGTCGCCCGCCTGGATCCAGGTGGTGCGCAAGATGTCGTTGACTTGGCTGAGCGCGGTGGTCGCCTGAACCCAGGCGTCCTGGCCGAGCTCGGCCGGCATGTGTCGCACCGTCTGGAGCACCCACATCTGCTCGTCCCGGCTGCCCTGCTGGAGGAACTCGGCCTGCCCGGGTGGTGAGGGATAAGCTAGGAAAGTGGGTTAGCATTAAAAGCGAAAACCTACATGGGGAGCGGTGGGAGCTATGGGCTTCTCTCGGCTTACCATATTCGACATCTTCCTCCCAGCGCAGTCCAACAGCCTCGGCTGTCACTTTGACACTGTCTGGCATCTTAAAGACCACGCGGGCCTTGGCAGCGTCCTTGCGAATCTCCTTCATGGCTGTGGCCAAGTCCTTCAGCTTGGGCGTCTTAAGGATGTTCGGCACAGATAGCGAATACCCGGCCTCCCTGGCAAAGCTCGCCAGGGTGATGGCCGAGATGGAGTCGCCACCCAGGGCGAGGAAGTTCGCCTCGCGGCCAATCTGCTCGGCCGGCAGGCTGAAGATGTCGGCCCACATGGCCTCCAGCGCCCGCTCGGCGGGGGTTTCCGTGGGCACCACGACGTGACCGCCCTCGCCGCCGCCGCCGGATCTGTCCAGCGCGCACCCGGTCAGGAACACGGGGTCGAGCTCGTCGGCGACCTTGCGGAGCGCCTTACGGTCGACCTTGCGCGAGGGGAGCTTGGGGAAGACGCCCATGGGGACCACGAACTTGGGCACCATGTACGCGGCCAGCGAGCCGAGGTTCTCGCGCAGCTCGGCCATGCGGCCGGCAAAGAGCGTCGGGTCGAGGGCTTCGACCTCGTCCGGACCTGACGCGTCGTCGCTGCCATCATCGCCACCGGCACTGTTGCGGAAGACGCAGAAGGCGACGAGGTGCAGCTTGTCGCGGATCGAGGTCGCCAGCGCGACGACGTCCTGCACGAGGCCCGTCCGGCGGATCGCGTTCTCGACCTCGCCCAGCTCGATGCGGTGGCCGTGGATCTTGACCTGGTTGTCCTTGCGGCCCAGGCACTCAATCTCCCCGCCGGGCAGCCAGCGTGCGAGGTCGCCGGTGCGGTAGACGCGCACGCCGCCCAGGGCCTCGCTGTCGACGTAGGCGGCCGCCGTCAGGTCCGGCCGGTTGACGTAGCCGGCCGTGACCTGCGGCCCCGCGATGCACAGCTCGCCGACGGCGCCGTACGGGCGCAGCAGCGAGTCCCTGCCGGCCTCGGGGTCCACGATGAAGGCCATGACCGTCGGGAACGGCGCGCCGATGTTGCCGATGCGGCCGCCCTGCCTGACGTCCTTCATGGTGGTGACGACCATGGACGTCTCGGTCGGCCCGTACACGTTGAGGATCCGGCAGCGGCGGCCCCACGTCTCGACCACGTCCGGCGTCAGGGGCTCCCCTCCCACGATCAGCCTCTCGAACCGGGGCACGTCGTCGGGCCGGAACAGCTTGGCCACCGTCGGCGTGATGATGGACTGCCTCGCGTCCATGCGGTTGATACAGCCCGCGATATCAGACAGCAGGACGTCGGTCGGGGCCATGCAGAGCGCGCCGCCCGTGCTCAGCGTGTTGAAGAAGTCCTGGACCGACGCATCGAAGACGTAGTTGGCGAACTGCAGCGTCCGCCAGGGGGCGCCCTCGTACCGGCCCTCCACCACGGCCATACTCTGCACCGCCGCCGCCGCCGAGCGGTGCGGCACCTTGACGCCCTTGGGCTGCCCGGTGCTGCCCGAGGTGTAGATGACGTAGGCGAGGTTGTCGGGAGATGCGTCGTCGATGGCTGGCCGCTGCTTGTTCTCCGCATCATCAAGCAGGTCGGGCATCCCCGGCGCCACCACCAGGGTCTCCACGCCGGCGCCGAGATGGCGACCAAACTCCTCGTGCTCCGCATGCACGACGACCAGCCGCGCACCGGCATCCGACACCACAAAGGCGTTGCGCTCGGCCGGGTTGTCCGGGCTAAGCGGGACGTAGGCGGCACCGGCCTTCATCACGCCCAAGATCACCACCATCATGTCGACGGACCTGTCGAGCATCAAGGGGATCAGGTCGCCCGTCCGCACGCCGTGGCGCCCCCGCAGCTCGTGGGCGAAGCGGTTCGCCAGGGTGTTCAGCTCCGCGTACGAGATCTGCCGCTCGCCGTTGAAGTCGATGGCTACCGCGTCCGGGGTGTCGCGCGCGTACCGCTCAAACGCGGCGTGCAGGAACTCGGGCTCGGGAACCTGGAGAGTCTCGCGGTGAGAGAGCGCGCTGTACAGGAAGCTGTGCTCCGCGTCGCCCAGCACGGTGACTTGCGAGAGGGGCGTGTCGGGTTGCTCCAGGATGAGATGGACGATCTTGACGAAGGACTCGCGGATATACTCCAGCCGGCGAGCCTCCATGGTGCTCGACAGGCGCACCTCGGTGGTGTTGGCGGCAGAGGCCTCCTCGACCTCGAGGACGGTGTACTCGGAGCCCCAGGCGGGCCGCCCCGCGTACTGCTTGAAGACGCTGCGCGTGTCGTCGTCGTCCGACTCCTCATTCCCGACAAGGACGTTCACGAGCGTGTCGAGCACCCCGGCCGACGCCCCGCCGGACCGGAGCGCCTCCTGCATCCCCACCTGCGAGTGCTTGACCACCTTTCCAAACTCGCCCATGATTCTCCTGACCAGCTCGCCTAGCGTCGCGTCCGCCTGGAGCCGGACGCGCTGCGGCACCGAGGTCATGGTGGGGCCGTCCATGTCCCGGATCCCCAGGACGGGCGCCTCCCTGCCCGAGACGGTGGTGGCGTAGACGACGTCGCTGGCCGCGGCGTGGTGCGACAGGAGGACCGCCCAGGCGCCGTAGACGACGCCGCCGAGGGTGACGCCGCACTCGCGCGCCCGCTGGCTGAGGCTAAAGTCCAGGGTCGCCTTGAGCTTGACGGCCTGGTCGACGCTGTTCACGGGTGCGTAGTTGAGCGTCGTCGTCGGCGCCCCGGCGAGATAGCCAGCCCAGAAGTCGCGGCTGGCGGCGGCGGCATCCGGCTGCTGGCCGAGGACCACGTGGCGCACAAAGGCGCTAAAGGGCGTGCGCACAGGCATCGCCTTGCCTTGGTATGCGGCCGCGACGTCCCTGTAAAGGAACCGGTGGGACCAGAAGTCGAAGAGGGAGTGGTGCATGGTCACGACCAGGACCTTGCTCGCCTGGGCGCCGCCGAGGAGGGTGACGCGGAAGAGAGGCTCAGACATGTCCCACTTGGCGTGCGACTTGTCGGCCACGAAGGAATCGAGAGTCTCTTGGGACTCGTGCCACGGCAGCGGCACATCGTCCCGGACGACCTGGACGAAGGAGCGCTTGTGGGGCACGAACCCGGTGCGGAGGATGGCGCGGGCCCGGAAGACCTGCTCGAAGCTCTCTCTCAGCTTGTCGGTGTCCAGGCCGCTGACGTCCCACGTCCTCGAGTACGTGTATGGGTCCGACGGCGTGTTGAGTGAGGTGAGCATCGCGGCCTGGAAGGGCGTCGCGGGATACGCATCCGAGATTCCCACGTCCTTTTCCAACTTGGAGAGGAGCCTGGGGTTGTCCTGGACGAGAGAGAACGGTTGGGGGATCTCATCTTGTCCCTTGTCGATGACCTGAGCAGCTGACGCGATGGACTCGAGTGTGGCGCCCGCCAGAAGCTCGCTGAAGTCGAGAGCGAGCCCGCTCAGCCGCAGTTCGGAAATGATCTTGATGGCCTGGATCGAGGTGCCGCCGAGGTCGAGGAGGGAGTGGTGCTTCCGGATGACGGATGGATCCATGTCGAGCACGGCCGCCCAAGCCTTTGAGATCTCGAGCTCCAGCCCCTCCAGCGCCGTATCGGATCCTGCCTCGCCCTCGAACATGGCCTTCGCAAAGCCCACCGCGCCCATATCGCGCGCCAGCTCGCGCAGCTGCTGGAGGTTGATCTTGCCGCTGGCCGTCTTGGGGATCGCCTCGACGGGCACCCACATGGTCGGGATCATGTACCCCGGCAGCCGCTCGCGGAGGTACTCGCGACCCGCCACGACCGCCTGCCGCAGCGTGCGCCCGCCAGCCAGGACGACAAAAGCCACGAGGCTGGGTCCCCGCCCCTCCTCGACCTCGACGGGCAGGGTGACGGACGCGTCCACGGCCCCGCACCCGAGCAGCAGGCCGTCGACCTCGGCCGGCTCGACCTTCTGCCCGTTGATCTTGACCTGCAGGTCCGCGCGGCCGAGGATCTCGACGGACCCGTCGGCGAGCCGCCGCGCAAGGTCGCCGGTGCGGTACAGCCTGCCCGGGCCGAAGGCGTTGTCGACGAAGGCGCGCGCCGTCAGCGCCGGCTCGTTGAGGTAGCCCTCGGCGAGCTGCGGGCCCGCGAGGCAGAGCTCTCCCGCCACGAGGCGCGGCGCCAGCTCCGTCGTGCCGGGGAGCAGGACGAAGGCGTCCGAGGTGTCCCCGGGCACGCCGACTACGCGCGGGTTGATGACGGCGTCGTCGTCGTCGGCGGAGCGGAGGAGCGCGCGTCCAAAGTTGAGCTGCGTGCACTCGCTCAGGCCGTACGTGTTCCGCAGCGTGAGGCCCTCCACGCCCGCCCAGACATCCACCAGGTGCTGGGGCACCGACTCGCCCACCAGCGTGACCTGCTTCAGGCCCGGCACGTCGGCGGGCCGCAGCAGCGAGAGCGCCGACGGGGTGATGCCGACGACGTCCGCCCTCAGCGAGTTGATGGTCCCCGCCACGTCGCCCGTCAGCCGCTCCTTGCTGGCCAGCACCAGCGTCCCGCCGTGGACCAGGGTCGCCAGCATGGTGCGCTGGGCGGCGCTGAAGATGGGGTTGTAGAAGAGCAGCCACCTCTGCAGGCCGCCCAGGGAGTGGTGCGCCATGCCGCTGGTCGCGGCACCGTGCGTGAGGACGGCGCCCTTGGGCTTGCCAGTGCTGCCCGAGGTGTAGATGATGTAGCAGCGGTCCTGCGGTCCGATCGACACTCCGTCGAGAGGGCTTCGGTCCGCGCAGGAGGCCAGCGCGTCCTCGATCGCCGTCGTGTTGGGGAAGACGCGGCTGTGCCTGCGGGTGGCCAGGACGAAGGGCGGGTCGCACTCGGCAACGACCTGCGCGTTGCGCTGGACCGGCGCGTCCGGGTCCAGGACCGTGTAGGCGGCGCCGGACTTGAGCACGGCCAGGAGGGCCACGATCAGCTCCGGGGAGCGCTCGGCGAGAACCGGAACGATGGCCCCCCTTTGGAGCTTGAGCGCCCGCGCCAGCGCGTTGGCCCGCCCGTCCAGCTCCGCATAGGTGAGGGAGACGGACTCCTCGAACTCAAGGGCCGTCCGCTGGGGGTGGAGCTTGACCGCCTTCTCGAAAAGGGAGGGGATGGTCGTCGGCTGCGCCGTGCGCGGGGAGCGGGACTGCGCGAGCAGGAGATCCCTCTCGTCCTCGGAGACGAGGTCGACGGCCGAGCAGAGGCAGTTCGCCAGCTCGACCTTGGCGGCCGCGCTCCGGACGGCGGCGACAAAGTGCTGCAGGACGACCTCGGCGTCGGCGCTGGCGATGTACGAGTCCCTGTACCGGAGCGTGACCTGCAGGGCGGCGGACGACTCGCCGCTGATGGCCAGCACGACGGGGAAGCGGGACATGCCGGGCGCCAGGCAGGGCGGGTTCCCCAGGCGCGTGTACGTCAGCGCCGTCTCGACCGACGTGTTGGCCGGCAGGTGCCTGCTGATCTCGTCGAGGCCGACAAAGGCGTGGTGGCTGGCCTGCTCGTGGTAGCGCTCCAGACCGACGACAGCGTCGCGGACAGTGAGCCTCCGGTCCCTGGAGGGGATGGGCAGCCTGACGAGGTACGTCTGGTCCAGACACCCCACGCAGGAGTCGGCACCGACGAAGGTGCTGTCGCGGCGGACGGTGCCGTAGACGACCTCGTCGGACCCCGTATGCGCCCCGAGGACGAGACCCCACAGCAGCTCGAGGACGGTCTGGCTGCTGAGCGGCTGCCCCTGGGACTCGGCGAGGTGGCTGCCCCCGAGGTCGGCGAGATTGGGGCCGTTGATGACGACGCTGATGCTCCGCCTTGCTCCCCCGCCGCCAGCGGCAAGAGATCCGGCACCGTGGGCGTGCTTGGGGGCTGCTTGGAGAGCGAGGCGAGGAACCGCCCCGGAGAGCACGTTTGACCAAAAGGACTTGGAACCCTCGTCGCTCTTGCGCCACTGCTCGAGATAGCGAGTGTAGAGGTAGAATCCCGTGTGCTCAGCGCACGGGATACCGTGCAGCAGGAGGGCGAAGTCCAGCTTGATCATGGAGATGGAGGCAGCGTCGAGGAGAGCCCTATGAAAGTGCAGGACCATCCTGATGCTGTCGGCATGTTCAGTGGCCTCCAGGGCCATGTGGGCAAGGCGGTCAAAGCTCGCGTCTTGCTCATCCTTCTCCATGCCCTGCAGCGTTATTCCCCCTATCCGCCGCAGGATAGTGACCTGGAGCTCTCCAGTCTGAGGGTCGGTGCTCAGATGAGACCGTAGGGCGGCATCTGGTTCATGTCATCCGGTGTTAGTACTCTGAGCTGGTTAAGACATGAATGGTGGGCAGGTAGACACTCACGATGCGACGCCAGCGCTGTCCAGGCATTGAAGACGGCCAGGAAGTCGGCAGGATTCTTCTTCCAGAGTGAGAGTTCTGCCTTGGCCCACTGAATCCCCTCAGCGGCAATGGCCCTCTGGATCTGAGTGGCAGGGAACACCCTCTCTACCTGGGAGAACTTGGGCCGGATGCTGCTGTGCACGCTTTCTTTTGGGCCTGGCAGCGAGGAGATGGGCGAGAAGAACTCGCCCTCATTGTGGACTTGGTGAAGAAGTTGCATGATGGGATAGTGAGGTAGGGGAGCTCAGTCTGAGGAAGATGTGATCTTGTGTGGTCGTGATCTTGTCTGGTCGTGATATCTCCCTTTCATGAGCGCCAGGAGGGGGACATCCGGACCCTTCTTATACCCAAACATCGTCGGGTGAAGCTTGAAGTAAACGCGAGCAAGACGCGAGCGTAGAGTGGTATCGTGCAGGGTTCGGGGGGGGGGGGGGGGGGGGGGGGACGCCCGTCCTCAGACTCAGGGACTCGCGGAGATGT